AATGACAGATTATGAATAATCTTTAGCCGTTAAATTGAAAAAAAAGGGAAGCTGCCCTAATATGATAATGGACATATAATATATATATTCTGATCTGATTTTGTTCTAGAATCAGCACCAATAGCTTCTTATGATGCCAGCACACAGCACTGAAACAGAGCTGCAAACAATAATGATGAAAAGTTCATATTTCTAATGCAAGTCATAATTGTTGGTTGGGTTCTCTACATATGGTCATTAGCTCAAGGGTTTGGTTAGGCATTTCAATAATTTATACTGAAATCCAGCGAATGATTAAAAAAATGAAAATCCCATATCTCATTAAAGGTTTTTGTTTCGGAAGTGGAAAAAATGGAACAGAGAAGTCTTGAGGTAGTGAAATGATCAAGTCCTGCACAGATGAGATTGGTAAGCAACGGTAGGCTTATAGTCAGGATGCGAGCTGGGTCAAAGGTCAGTGTGGAGGAGGGCACATGAAAATGGGGAAAGCGGTGACAGCTGTGTGGAGGGGGAGGAGCAAAAGCGAGGGTCATGTGACAGAAAAGCGGCTCCCATGATGCATCGATGGGCTGTGAAGTGCCCTCTTCTGGATTATCAGGCTCCAGAAGTGGAGACTCATTATCCCACATGGCAAGCAGAGGACTGAAAATACTGACTCATCAAGGCTTCTGGCCCAGAAAAAGGAGGAATCACCCGGACGAGATCCTTCAAACAAAACACAACGGCAGAATGCCTTGTCCTGTCTATTTCCAGAGTACCCCTTCGATGACCACGGCAAATTAAGTCTTTAGTCTGAAGCAATTTTCTATTCATGGCAGTACAGTAAAAACATAACAGATGGCACCACAATGGAGGCAATGGAGCCTGCATCCACACAACCCACCTATGGGCAGCGAACAGCGAGGAGCTGACAGGACATCAGTATTGGTAAAAAGAACCTGTGAGAACCTGCTGCTCTTCCACCTTCTCCATTTCCAATGTCTCCACAACCTGAACATTTCCAATCTGCAGGATAAGCGGTAGTCTATTTCCCTTCAGTGGTCAAATAGGGCAACAAAATCATTGACCTTCCAGTTCATTGCTTGGGAACATCAGGCAGAACAAGCTGACCCACCTTGCTGGCGCTGGGCGAGGCTGTCGAGGTGGTCAGGCTCCCCTTCAAACGGCTGGTAGATGTTGGGCTGCAGGGGAGAGACAAACCCTCTGGGAAGGGCAGGGGTATGACAGAGCACAGGACGGCCACCGAGGACACCAGAGGGTGCACCAAAGGGTTATGATGAATGACCTCGGATGGAGCGAGAATGACAAACGAGAGAGGGCGGAATGGGCGGGTAAAAAGGTGGGGGTGCGGTTAGGATAAGACCCAGGGGAATGAAAAACAACTTGAAAACGTTCCAGGTAAACAGGATGCCCGTGTGACAAGGTGACATCTGACAAGGTTAAAAAAAAAAAGAAGAAAAAAGCTAATTCCTCCATATTCAGCTCAGGGGAGAAGCCTAAGAGTGTCAATGAGTTAAACATCATAAATCTAAACGACACATGGGAACATAAACTTTAATTACACTTTTTAAATAAAGCAAGCAATTTAAATTAAAAAAGAAGTAATATCTCAGTGTCTCTAAAGGGGTTCTGTTCAGGTGATGCATAATAGTTAAATGGACCAATTTGCATTTCTGTAATGTCTCATACTTCCCACTAGTAACTAATAAACTCCAGGACAGGCTCCAAGCCAACACTACAACCCTATAGTAGATAAGCTGTGATAGACAGTTAAGGGCATTTCTCAGGGGCCCATTGGGGAAATCACTCTGGACACGGTTTGAACCGGTGACTTTTTGATCATAACCAGGGTGTTATGAAGCAATTAAAAATATTGTCTTCTAATTCGCCTGAGTTACCATGCTGTGTGCTTGGTTGGAGGACATAGCGTCCTTGAACGTCACTGTACATATATCTTCATATACCTGCTGTTAATTAATCATTTTTATTTTATGATGCGATGTACCGTCTGTACTGTCTTTGCACTATGGATGCTTGTCTGTATCTCGCTGCTATATGGACCAGAATTTACCTCTGGAACCAATGAAGTTCATCTTATTATGTCTCAGTAATTGTACCAGTGCTTCTTAAGTGGTTTCATCAATGTCCGATAACACTTGAGAGTGCCATTCTCTAACAGTAAAAACAGAGAAGGGGGTCTCTGCTCTTTACAGTTGTACCGCATCCTCAGCAGAGCGTCACTGCTGGCCTGATGGAGATACAAAGCTACATTTAGCTGAGTGGATATTTTATCCATTGTGCACTTCTGCCCTCATCGGACACGAAGATATTGGATAGTTTACAGGAAACACATTATGGAAAATCCCTCATGATGGTAGCGGTGCTCCAACAATCGCTCTATGCTGCTATTATCAGCGTGGGGGAGGGGGAGGGGGGCATATACTTTTTTAAAATAATAAATCTTCATGTACCCTGTACTCAGCATTAACAATCCATTTACAGTATGATGTCTAGATCAATGAAGAACAAACAGCAATTATGAGGTCTTGGCAGGACGGGAGAGAGTCCACAGTGCAGTTCTCAGGCTAGAATTGTAACAATAACATTACAGAAAACAGCATTCATGCATCGCGTTGTTAAATGAAATATGTATTTGTAAATGTGTAGAGAATTGTCAGAGTGGTCAGTTCAGCCAGTCACCATAGTAATCTACCAACTAGTAACTAATCAACTCCTGTTTACTTCATGTCAGCTTTCTGTAAAAGCAGAGATGCCAGCTTCACAAGTTACCTAAAAGTGAAAATGTGGTCAATAAAAAGAAATGACTGCAGAAAGAATAAAAGCAAATAAACAAAAGAAAAACAATACCTGTGTTAAAGTGAAATCCTGTCACCTGGAGTCTGAATCACAAATAAAAGCTTTACTTAGCTACCAATCAATACTAAATGTATTTGGGTAAACACAAACATGAACCTCATGAAGTTAAAAAGCGTAAAATACAACCATTCCAAATAGATGGAATTGGCCCCTATATTGACATTAATCCTAACAGAGTTAAACAGTGAAATATTCTGGCTGCTAGTGTTTATGGGGAGGCCCGATGGCTCACTGCTGCCTCTAGTGTCCCCCCTCTAAACTACATAGGTATATGGAGTTTGCATGTTGTCTGTGTCACATGACTTCCTCCAGCCTTGTGTTTCCCAGGACAGGCTCCAAGCTAACACTACAGCCCTATAGTACATTAATTGCAATAAAAAATGGATAATTACTGCTTGTGTTAAACACAAATTTCTTATTAAAGGCCCAATTTTCCTACTGAAAAAAAGAATAAAGGAAGGATAATTGCTACTACCAGGTAGCTCTGGGCAGTTACTTAATTCGATCCTGAACGGCATCACAAGGTGTGGAGCCCGCTGTCCTCTGCCCCGGTCACACTGGGTGGCCTGAGACTGGGGAATCCCATCCATCATGCACGTAACCAGTTAAGACCCAATTCGCCAAGTGGCCACGGCCGGATGATTTCCCAGAATTACCAGTGCTGTCAATAAAATGACATAATTTATGCATGACCTTTCATATGGTGAAATTCAAAAATATCACAATCTCCCTGACTCATTCATAATTTAGTCCCTATGCCATAATATTGTTTTTTAAAAAATGATGCCTAGAGTAGCACCACCACAAAGCCCTACTATCGTCCACTAGAACATTTAAAAACATTTTCCAAAAAATCAGCTCAGAGACAATATGAATATGAACAATATGAAAAGTTTTTTTTCTTTTAAACAGGTTAACAAAAAGAATCAAGCATACAAGACATATATCACGCATGTAAGCGACACGATACTAGTCAAAACTGTAACGATTTTACTTTGACAAAAGTTTCCTAATATATGCCATGATCCAGTCAGAGTTCATTTGTCACGTTTTACCCAGAACTTTACAATCCTTCCATAGAGGCAGAACTTTGATAAACTAGCAGGTGATTTAATGTAACAGGAAGAAAACATCAAGAGCACAAAGTACCCAGGGACCTTCACCAGGCTGACTTTCTTCCCAAGAGTCGTTTGGCCTGATCGCAGTCTGAATAATAAAATAACACATCAGTAAACAATAAGACGGAGACCAGACTTAATGGCATTCCCTTCACACAAGAGACAGGTTTCATTGCATTTGTTTTTTGTCCATATGTGGATATTAGAGGCTGTTGCACTTCTGGAGCAGAGCAAAGGTGTTAGATTGCAGCATGGGCATGTGCAGAATATATCAAAATATCAATTTCATAATAGTACCTATTCCGCAGTACCAGGTCATCTTTAGCAATGCTTATTCCGTTCCATGTAATCAGTGACACCACCTAACCTGCAGAGGGTACCTCCTTCGTGGACATTGGCTGTTCACTCCCTTCTCCATAGGCATCCAGCCTCAACCTGAATGGAGACGTGATTCTGCTTGGGGGGAGGGGATCGCCTGATAACAGTAACGAAGGGGAGGAACAAACATACTGGGGACCTTGGTGTCACCGCTGTAAGAATTAACAGAACAGGTGATGAACTGCACGGGGAAATGGAACAAAGCACAGAGACCGCGGGCTCTGATCAGCTGCCCGGCGAGCGTTCGACATACTCTGGGTGTGACGGAGACGTTACTGCAACACTAACACAAACTGTGCATGGAGAGGATGGATCTGAAAAGACGGTGAAGTCTGGAGGGAGGGAACATGGCGTCTAGTGAACTGCCTCAGCAAGAATCAACAATTCAATTTTCAATTTTTTTCAATTTTCAATTTTTAAGTGGTGCTGTTACAGTTGGAATAGTTTCAAAAAACGATCAGATGATAAATAAAAAATGACATATTAATATATTAAATGCATAAAAGTTTTGCCAAGAATAAATACATTGAATAAAAGTGACAGGTACTGTCCCTGTAGGATATTCTAAATATCACTGGAAAAAAAAGTTATAAACTAGTTAAATAAGATAAATGACACACTTCGGTATTTATTATAGATTCAACAGATTTTAATAAATAATGTAATGTAAAAATCACCAGATTTTCTTCCAAAGCTGAATGACACAGTCTCTGAACTGATAACTCTGCCATTAGACTTTAATTGCCCCAAGGAGTGGCATTTTACCCTGGGATCCCTACACTTACTGCCCCATGCTTCCTGGGAAAGGTTCCTGCACTGGATGAACATTCACTGAAAAATTTTGAATATACAATTTCGAATATACAATTTATTTTCTATATAAATCCGATTGTTATTATATTGCAAGGCTTTTTGCGACACAGTCACATGACTATTTGCGTTAGCGTAATCTTACTGAGTACACAACATATTTCTTTATGTTTACCACATACTGGACACCTTCTGGATCTTGCTCATTGGCCATTTAGGAATAAAGGGATACAGTTATAATACATCATCAGGAACAATAAAATCATTTTTAGAAACATGAACTTTCAGGCACTTCAGCGGGCAGCTGTGAAGGTGGGCCACACTCTCGTGATGTCTCTGCTCCTTTAAGGCATGGCTGCCGTGTACATTTATCACAGCTTTCCCCTCGTCTCCGGGTCGTAGTACAGCACCTGCAGCAGGATGGCCACGTCCACCAGGATCTGGACCAGCCCACAGACCCAGAACTGCACGGGGCTCTCATTCATTATGAAGTACGTCGTCTTGAAGATGTCTCCAGCCATCCAAAGCAGCACCATCTTCACACTAATGGGTAAAAAAAGGCAAGGTTCTTTGAGAACAACCTTAATGCTGGGACACTGAGCTTCTCCCTGGATTAATGTCACCTATAGTTAGGTATCTCATCCTCCTAATCCTCACAGTGTGACCGGAGCCACACTCCGCTTGTCTCGTATTACCTGCTGAACTTTCCAAAATGTCAGCTTGTGACAGAAATCCCTGACACACAATGATCCGTATTTTGCTTGACCCTCGATGGAGCGTTTTTCCTCACTGCTGACTTTAAGGTTGGAACTCACAGTTTGTCTCACTAAACATAGTTTAGAATTATTATTTCATTTTCTTGATTCCACTGAATATCTTCATGTGTTCAGTGAACTCACACATTGTATAAATAAATAGGATTATATATATATAGTATATAACGGTATATATGCAAGTCATCCCCCAAAACATTAGAGTTCAGAGAAGGATTCAGACTGTTCAGTATCTCCTGCACAAGATATAAATGGTTTCTATTAGAGGATGCATTTAACCCATTTTCCTATGAAGAGCTTAGAACAGATCATTTAAAATGATGTAAATCATAAGATTAAATTCAGACTGTATCGAAGTCCAGCCAACACCGCTAATGTATATCACAAATGACTAAATCAAAGGAAATCAAGTACTTGCAGCATAAATAACATTTTATGCCTGAGATGAACACAAGTCACAGCATAGCTCTATCAGAAAAAGCACGGTACGTTGTTACTGTGACATGACAAAAAATTGCACTATATTTTAGAGACACCAAGGGAATTAAGGGCAGACTGCATTCTTGCTGTAGATCTTCTGCAAGAGACTTGGGATGAAATCTGAGAACACATACCTTCTATTCATGGACTTTCCTAGACAGGAATCAAGCCAAGGGACAGAAACAAAGTTTTATGAAGCAGCTAAATTAATCTACTGACCATCTGTGAGCATTTAACTGGATGAGGGTTCTGTTGCAGAACTAGACAGCATAAGCAGGAGATTCTCCGTTCAGCATACAATCAGCTCCAGCAGACAATCAGTCATTCCTTTTGACTCTCGACACCTCAATCAAAATCCTCCTCGAGAGAGCTTTCATTTGGCCACCGCTATGTAGAGGCTGCTCCTCTGGAATGCTAACTATTAATTTTATATTCTTTAAGTCTCCGTTGAGCATTTCCAGTTCGCTCGGAGATGACGGAGCGGCCTCCCTTCATTACGGAAGAGGAAGCGTTAATGAGCCGATTAACGGCGCAGGTCATTAGTGTAAGGGCAGCTCCAGTCACTCAGAATGGAGATAAAAGGGAGCCAAGAATTCGACGTCACTGAGGTGCGAATAACAATGGGGAGGAGAGTCCAGGCTGATGAGGCTCTCATTAATCACAGGCGCCGTTGGTTAGTCAGCCCCCCCGAGCAGAAGGCCTGACCTGAGATATGAGGCCTAGTCCAGCACCTCGGGGCCTGAGCAAAGCTGCGATGGCACACTCCCGGCCCGGGGTGATGTCTGTTGGCCGCTGACAAGCGCAGGGAACAGGAAGACAAGCAACTGGAGCAGGTTAGCGCTACGACGTCAATGGTGAAAAGCGGTCACCGTATTGATCGGGAGTGTTGACAGCGACATGTCAGTACAAAGGATGCCGATAGGCCCAAGAGAGGCCCGTGTCCTTTATTCTCCTGACAAGAGCCCCCCATGGGTATATCCCACCTGACACCTTCATCTGGGCCGGACGTGTGTAAGAGACAGCGTGTGATTGTTCAGTAGGTCGTGGGGCATCAGTCCCAACAGAGACTATTCCTAGTTCACAGGCTCATTAAAAAGAAAACCTGGAATATTTGTGAGATAACCAGCCCCCCTTAACAAATATCTGTAAATTATTGATCTTAATATATTTAATTTATTTAGCAGATGCTTTTATTGAATGTGATGTACATGTTTCAGATAGCAGGGTCACACAGTCACTGGCGCAACTGACTGGTTAAGGGCCTTTCTGAGGGGCCCAATGGGTGAATCCCACTCTGGAGCTTCCAGTTTGAACTGGCGACTTTCTCATCATAAGTACAGTGTCCTGATCTGCTCAGCCACAAACCACCCTACCTCCAGTTTTATGGCCTGTCGGGGCGTGATTACATTGAGTTACAAGGCGGGTCCCTGCAAATTCAGAAATGCAGAAGGGAGGGCAGAGGAGTGAGATAGAGAGACAAGAGGAGTGAGACAGAGCGGTGAAGAGGAGCAGGGGAGCTTCCAGACAGCCATCAGGAAAGAAGGTGGCGCTGAAGAATGAATGTGACCTTTGACCCGAACAATGTGCCCGTTCAGCATGCTCCAGGATGTCATTCTGTGCCACATGCTAAATGTCGCAGGAGGATTTACTGTGATATGCTTTCAAAATGTATGCTCTGGATTTATCAATAATTCAGAAAGCATTCAGAGAACAGAATGTAACAATAATTGTATATCAAAATCAGGATTTTTATTACCACACGACCAAGGCTGGTGTACATTTTTGTTGGCACAGCTTTCTACTTGTCAACAGACAATTAATAATTACAGATAAAGAATAAATACAAGATACGCAAAAGGGTAGAGTAAATGCAAGGTACGATAAATAAAATGGTTTATGCAAAAAATTCCCCCACTTAAGGCTGCAACTGAAAGAGATATTTATAATTCAACTTATATGTAAATCATGATGAAGAAAATCTGATTTATTAGATAATTATGTTCTCATATTCTTCCACATAAATAAATAATAACAAAACCAAAAGTAAAAAATATATATGCTGGTAAAATAGTGTCTTAAGAACACAGAGTTCACACAATCAGTCCCATGATTCCTTCCCCTCCATTTAGTGAAAAATAGACGTTGTCGGTGGATTTTTTTACTCCGGGTGTGAGAAACATAACACACAGGTTCACAGGGAGGTGTTAAAACAACACACTGCAGGAGATCTATTGCACTGAATCACTGCCGCCTTTCGTCAGGAAAACGCGTCCGAATTGCGTTGCACTGTCTCAGGCTGTCAGCTCGCAGTGCGCCTGAGCCTGAAATGATTCAACACCATTAATCTGCAGTCTTGTTTGGGTGAAATTCCTCCTGCCCACCAGAGAACCACCAATTACTCAGCTGCCCTTCTGAACGCACACCGACGATCATGATGCTCGTACCTGCTGCTCTCCGTAACTAGATGACAGTGATCGGACAGAGGGGACTATTACATCCTTCCTGCAGAAAATCTAACCATAAAAGACAAATAATGGGACGACATCAGACAACATTCTGCCACATTGAGAATACGCCAGGGCTCCTTCATTGTTGAAGACACAAACTATTGAAATTTTAACATGCCGTGTGAGATTCTCCCATAACATCCCTCCCATACCAAATGCAAATATTTGTATGCTGCTAAATGGTAATGAAGACTGCGGATTTTATTTCAGAGGGGTGGAATTCAGGAAGTGTATCCACCAATGAACACAAAGCCTGAGATGAGCCAATGCCCATGTTTCTCAGGCCGACCAACCAGCTTCCTGCGACTGCCTCTGCTAATGGTCACCCTAGTATCAAACTCTTTTCAGTTATTGGGTCACATTTGATCCAATTGAAATGCAAGTGTATCAATCCATGAGTAACACATTTACATTCATTCATTCGTTCATTCAGCCGTTCAATTTTTCATTCGTTAATTGTCCAAAGTACAAGTGATATAGATGGCACAGTACAAACACACAGCTGTCAAGGAGTCGACTAGACACAAGTGCAGCTAGGCTGAGATTCCAGTGAATGCCCAAGTATAAGTGAAAGTAGTGGAGCAAGAGCTACAAAATGCATTTCAGAGAAAGCAAGAACCAAATGAAACTATAAGCAGACAATGTGCAACATTAAGAATATTCAGAGAACATGCAGTGGTATTAGGGTGTATTAGGGTGTATTAGGGTGGGTCTTGAGGTTAGTAGGCTAGTGACACATTACCAACACTGGTCATTCGGACTGGGAACAAAAATGGAAAATGAAATCCTCCACTATAGGGGGATCCTCCTAGAATGTTTTTTTTTTTTTATTCTGCTGGAGGTATTTCCCTTATCGGCAAAAAATATATGGAAGATTACTGCAGGTGCCAATTAACATGTGATTACAGGTATAATGCCAACCTGTGCTCCTGGTTACTGTGACGCTAAGCAGGGTTGTGATCTTCCTCACTGTGACGCTAAGCAGGTTTGGGGCCTGGCCAGTAGTTGAATGGGAGACCAACTAAGAAAGCAGGGTTGCTGCCTGAAGAAGTGCTGGTGTGGCCAGAGGGTTAGCCGTCCTGAGGTCTGTGTGGATCCAGTGCAGTGATGGTGACAATACAATGTGCTGTGACAAAGGTGCCGTCCTTTTGGATAAGACGTAAAACTGAGGTCCTGACTGTCTGTGGTCATAAAGATCCCTGGGCCTCTTTCGTGGGACTAGGGGTGGTACCCCGATACTCTCCCGCCCCCTCACCACCTTAGCTACTGTGTGGGGGCCGTACTGGCACAGAATGCCTGCTGTGGCATCATCCAGGAGGGGGCTACACAGTGGTGGGGGTTGAAGTGGCTCCTCCTTGGTTCTGCAAAGCGCTCTGGGTGTCCTGATAAGCACTATATAAATGTAACATTCAGTTTATGTAGTTAATCAAAAGAAAACAGCTAAAAATAGATGAGAGATGCATTGTGGGCTCTCCCACAATACATGCCGTCAAGTCATGGTGCTCCTGTGAAATTCTGCCAAATGAAAACACTGCAGTATACCCCAAATACCGTGGTATGCTATTTTAACATAATACCGCCCAAGTCTACCTGAAACCCTGTCTGTAAAGGTCGTTGTCAGCAGACCTCATGCTGGTGGTAGCACATGGTTTCCACAGAACTGAGTCTGTACGTCCTCACAAACTGCAAGCTCCATTTACGGCGGCCGGCTCTCGCAGCTGCGTCACTGCTATTCGGAGCACGCGTGTTTATCAGCACAGCGGCCAGTCTGACAGAGCTGCCCGATATTATATTCTTTCCGCACTCTGGTGCCTGCACCAATGGAAAAACTAAAAAACAGCAACCTTTCCTTACTCTTAAAACTGTAATGCAGGATCTATGTGGCTGTATTCCAAAGTGATCCGGCAGGCTGGATTATAACCTCCATCAATTCACATGAGCCCAGGAAATGAGGCTGCGGTCATTTAGGGCCCACAGGCCTTGATGTTGACCCCAGTGCCACAGAGTCTGCTGACCACTAAATGGTATGTCTGTGTCTAAAAAAGACCCCTCATACACAGACCACCCTCCTGTTTATGCATGGATACTATAAAATAATATAATGCTGACATCTTCCAAAGCCGTGAATGGCTCTAACTGCGGATCACAGCTCCATAATGCATTAGAAGCCTGGTTCCGGAGCCAATGGATGGAAAAATCCATTTAAAGATTGCAAATTACCCATAAAGCCCAATGCCAGTGACGAGGTGAGTGGGCAGAAACACATACACTAGATCTGTCCTCCTGGAACAGACTAGCAGGGTTATGAACCAGGACACTATGGCGTGGGCTGGTGGGGGGAAGAATTCCTCCAAAGACCCCCACTGGAGGCTGCACAGGCCAAACGTGCTGCTTATTTGAGGCACTGTTCCCTTCAGGCTGAGTCCAGCGCAGGCGTATTAGCGCATTAGCGTGAGCGATAGCACCAGGCATCTGCGCCATCTGTCAGTGCCTCCAGCACTCACCGGAGAAAACACCAAAGCCCGC